CATCTAACATCAGCAACAATATCCCTAGTATGACGATCCCTTCTAAACCCAGCCTGGACTTCCGGCAGTTCTCTGCTGATGTGCTGTTCTAATCGTTTTTTTATAATCTTCAATAGAATCTTGCTTGTATGTGAAATCAATGACACTGTTCTGTAGTTTCCACACTCAGTTGGGTTAAAAGTAACTATAATATTAAGGAAAGATCCCTGGTGGTGTATTGGATTCTTAATTAGAAGCAGATAATTGTTAATTCTGTCAGCAGATAGAATTCACCAGTTGATCTATGGAAGAAAGATGGGCAGTCTCCTCTTGTAAATATTTACAGTCTTGGATACCTGTTGGACAATTGCTATGAGGAATCAACTAGAAGGCAGTAGATTTCAACCTTGTTGGTAATAATGAGTATAATAAACTTGCTACTAAGTGGTCTGATCGAAGTGAAATACATTTACGAACATGATTAAGTTCCAAAGACCAGATTGTTTTTCCAAATTAGTGTTATTTGAGAGGTGGGGCCATGCTCCACCTTCAGCACCATTATCCCCTCAGACACAGAGAGGAATTGGGGGTGGGAATGGCAAGGTGTTATTTATCATCTACCACTTACCAGCACCTGCCTGGGATGGGGACTTTACTCATCCTTCATTCACTCCAGCCTCCAAAATCCTTTATGGTCCTTTTCCTTCTCTTATCATTTTGAGTCCCTGCTTAACCTTCACATTCTCTCCCACAACCTTGTGTTGTCCTGTCACCCCTCATCATCTGTAAGCAGACTTAGACATCATGAACAAATGGAAGAAGGTAGAACACTTACCTCTCACATGACCTGGTCATCAATGAAGTCTTGAGTATATCATTCAAAGTATTTCACAGAAGGTTGTGCAAGCCCAGCACTGCATAGGTTCTGGACCATCAGAAGGACAACTTGGATTTTTTGTTTTCAAGTTGCAAATGTGAAATGACAGATCTTGAGATATAAGTAAGGAATGAGTATTACTTCAGAAGATAGTGTCATTATTTTGTCCTTGGATGATAAGATGGTTACATGGAGGAAGTGACTTTTGCGTATAGCCTAAAGAGCAGAATTTCAAGTGGAGGGAATAGTATTGCAAACATGGTAATAATAAAAAGTACAAGATATGTTTGTGGAAAGAAAAAGACCTTATTTTGCTGGAATATGACATAGGAGAGGAAGAGTAGTAGGAAATAGAAAGGAAGATAAGCTCACAGATGTCATCTCAGCTTATTCCTTTTATTCTCTAGTGGCCTGCTTTATGCTTATCCCTTTTCCATTATTTTCCACATCATGTGCAATACAAGAGGTGGATCTGGTGACCTAGTGGTAAGAAGCTGCACTTCAATCCCAAAGGTACATGTTTTGAACCCACCAGCTGCTCCATAGAATAAGGGTGAACAATTTCCTCCTGTTCTATTACTGCCTCTGAAAACCTGTTGGAAGAACAGCTATGGGTCGATTCTGACTCAGTGGCACACAGCACCAACAAAGATAGAGAACAAGAATATGCTAGTACTATATAAAGGTATCTGCTGCCTAAAACGGAAACCCTAAATCTAAGTTTTCACTTGGATAAAATTGACTAATGGGGTCAATGTTTTCATGATTAAAGTTATCATTATTCTTGTTTAGGAATTCCTATGTGTAGCCCAAGGCAAAGTTATTTCCCATACCATGCATCTGGTTGGAATCTTGGAAGCCTTTGATATCTTCTGAAAGAAGTCGGGAATCCAACATAGCGGCTGCATGATTGGTACTGTTATACCAGCTTTTGTTCTCATCCAACACAGTGAACAGTAGAAAGAACTCCTTGTCCACTCCTTTCTGCTGAACCAGTGGAGAAGATCGGAGGAGAGAATGACAATAGTTTTAGCAGTTCTGTACTGTGGAACTGCATAATTAAAAGATCTTTAATCTCTCCAATGTCCTTTTCCACACTCAAATATAAAGCCATACCTTTTGCCCAGAGTGACAACTGTTGCTCCCAGACTACTCTCAAATTTCCATTGGATGAAGAATAAAGGGGAAATGTGGATAAATTTAAATACTGAGGAAGAATGTAGTAAGGAAGGCAGAGAAGAAACACAAGGTGAGTGTTAAGGAGAACAGGCACAGGAAAAGAGCATAATAGAAAGTCACCACCTGAGCAGAGTGGGGGAAAGCAACCATCTGAGCAAGGATGAAGACAGGAAATTATTACTACTGTTGCATTTGAAATTTATTGAGTGTTTATTATGTTCCAGATAATATGCTAAGAATTTTATATGTATTATTTTGATTAATTTTCACAGAAATCCAAGGTACTTTCTTCCATTGTTGATTCCTTTTTACAGATAAGGAAGTAAAGCAAAAAGAGTAATGCTCCCCAAACTACAGAGATGGAAATTATGAACTAGATATTCAAGCATACAATCAAACACTAGGGTGGATTATAGTTAAAAGCAAAGATTAGGAGATTTCAGAGATAACAACAGTTTTAAAAACCAACCAAGAGATTATAGGAAGTGTTAAAATGGAAAGAAGTAGGCTAAAGGTAGATGTGTTTTTTTGAGTGAAAGAATGGCATGCAAAATATTATAAAGACATTAACAATTAATTTACTCTTCAAAAGTTTAGTTATTTTTTTTTTGCTATCCCCTCACCTTAGAGCTTAGCTACATAGCTTAGCTACATACTTAATTCCTACTCAGCACACTCATCCACATCTTCCTTCTAGTGGATTTCTTACCCCAAAGCAAAGCCTTTACAATACCTGCTTGCCATTTGCAGCCAAAGCCCCAGACTTGCACACTAGGAGGGGACCCACAAGGCCAGAATTTGTGTCTCTGATGGGATCTGTGGCAGAGAAATACATCCAAGCCATACATGCAGAGTCCTGAGCACTGGGGCCAGCATGTGGCGGTACTGTCCAGCGGTATGTTACTTTCTCAAAGGGTTTTGCCACTAAGCCACGATAGGATGAACCTGTAGATAAAACAGAATTTTTCACAATGGCTATAGTGAAAACCATCAGTTCCAAACAGTGGAGTATAGAGAATTATTTGGATTCAAAGTAGGTGAAACATTGAAAAGGGTCCTAGGCTATAATTCAAGAAACTAGAGTTTGGTTTCCAGTTCTGCTATTATTTGCCATATGAACTGAAAAATAATGTAAATTTATCATAGACCTTTAGGAATAAAAACTCAATGCAGTGGAGTTGGAACTGATTCTCTAGTAGGTTTTTAGAGATTTTAAATTGCGTAAGAATGCACCAAATGATAGACATGCAAAATACATAAAACAATGGTTAACAGACTTGAAGAAATAGAAAGCACCACAATAGTGGTGGCTGTTGTTGTTGTGTACTGTAGAGTCAGAATCGACCCAAGGGAGGAGATTGTCCATCTTTCTCCCAGGGAACAGCTGTTAGTCTTGAATTCTGTGCCTCTGGGATTGCAGTGCAGGTTCTTGCCAATAGGCCACCAGAACTCTTTACAATAGTGGTAAGAGATTTTAACAAATCACACTTACAAAGGGATAGATCAACTAGAAAGAAACTAAACAAAGATGCAGAAAATCTAAACCATACTGGACCTTTTGTACGTATTCAGGGTATTTCAACCAACCAAAAATGTATTTACTTTCTTATTAAGTGCACATGATACTTACTCCAGAATGGAACACTTATTAGGACACTAACTAAACCTTAAGAAACTAAAGAACACGGAAATACTACAAAGTATTTTCTCAAACCACTGGGCAATGAAACTTTAAATTCATGATAAGATGTTGTTGTTGTTGTTGTTATGTGCCGTCGAGTCGCCTGCGCCTCATAGCGACCCTATGTACAACAGCCCTAAACTCC